AGTCGTCAGTAAGGTACTATATTTAGATGCTAGTAAGGTGTGTAAACTTTCGGTCCGGTAATCCGCTTACGGTGATAGTATGTTACCGAAACTTCTGTAATGTTCTGAGTTATGAGGGCACAATATGGAACTTATCAGAAGCTGGTTAAACTACAAGTATATAAGGGGACAAGAGCTCTTCACGTATCTCTCACGCATTTTCATCACATAGGAACCACCTTTCATGTGAGGCTCGTTCATGATCCTTGAGCTTGACCACTGTCGCCGCTGGGTGAATATATGAATATTGTACTGCCACTCTATTATGCAACATCACCGTTTACAATATAAATTGCTTGACAGTCCTATCACAGGGTATTTTTCAACTGAGAAGTCGTCTGATTTCCACCAGGGCTTAACTACTTGCCTCACGGAACAACCTGTTTGCCTGTACGTAAGGACTTGCAACAATGCTGCTGTTCGTCGCTGGTCTCATCACCATGTCGTGTCTCACCCTGTCCGTGCTCTGCGCTGATGATGGTAGAGACGCCCTTTTATACCAAGTGGACATCTTCCTGCCCCCTAAGAAGGGGAGGGATGAGACAGCGGATATACTGCACATTAAGGAGACAGTGAAACATCTCTCTGACATCGATGTTCTTTTTTCATTTAAGGTTTGTACAGTCAACAAACCATAATGCATAGCGTCATCTATAACCCAATGCATTGTAATTACATATCCCTTATAGTTGCCATAAATACCCTGGGCCTAGTCACAACTACCTTTGTATTATTATTTGCATCGCCTTCAGGATTTCCATTACCACTCACTCACTCAATCACTTTTTTGTGCAAAACAATTGCTTTTTGTTGAACAGGAACTCGGGAATCCACGAATTATTCTTGGTAAGTTGACTTAATAATTTGCTTTAATTGTCATTAAATAAAAATAAACGTATGTTCACACAAGGAGTGTATACCTACCGTCATTATATGTAAGTTGGTAATGTTGAATGGTCATCTTGGTGGGTTTTAAGGAATTAACCATAAATGACAAGGTCGTTTGGTATATATTTTAAAGAAAAGATGCAGTATTACTTACTTTACAAGGTTCTTATCTTATTTGTTACATCAAAATACAGAGGAGCAATCTCGGCACACAAGGTCGAAGGTTTTTGTGAGGTCTATGAATGTGACATAGATTGGCTTCTTCTGCTTTCTGTATTTTTCCTGCAGCTGTTGTTTGAGAAGTTCATGTTGTCCGTTGGTCATGCTACCCTGAATCCACCCTGCATTTCGCAGGAGGGAGCTTTCAGCGAACCATGCGTCTCCTCCTCCTTCTTCCCAAAGGCTGAGAATGAAGCGTCATGGAGGGTGTCTCTCAGATGTCCCCATCTTTGCTTGGAATCTCCCTGTGGAGGCACTGTGACCATATAATCATTCAGGGCACCAGTAAAAAAGTCCACTCCCTGATGGCGTGAGGTATTGCTGACATCTTTATGAGTCGTTCCCTCTAGCTAAGTGTGGTGCATCCTCTTTCGCTGAAATCTGATCCAGTAATGGTTTGTGTCACACTCGGCGCTGAGGTACAAAGATGTAAAGATGCGATAAGCACGTTATTGAGTTGGCGCCGTCTTGTCATGATCAGGGCCAGTTCTTGGACCAGGACACCTTGTGCTGATGCTTAGTCTAAAGAAGGATAGGTGCTACATGGGTAGTGGTTGTGAGAACAGCATGAGAAGTAAATTTTGATCCATCTTGCCAAATTGTAGTCTTTCATTAGAGTCGCCCAACAGTTACAGCTGTTCTTGAATGATGATCCCCTTGATGATGGTCTGGAGCTGGTCGTAGAACTGGACCTCTTCGTTTGCCTTCTGTGTGGAGCAGAGGGTAGGATCGTACAGTCTCTCCACTCCACTCTTGCAAGGTTGTATCAGTCTGGGCATTGAGTTCTTGACAGCAAGGCCGGCGGTGTGCTTTCTGGATTGATCAGCTCCTGTAGCATGGCCACTGTCCACTGGACAGGCTGGTCAGATCAAAACACATTGATACCGCCAACAATCGGAAGCAGCCCTTGGTGTTAAATTCTACACCAATCAAGCAAGACTTATCACCGGTAGACACCTGCTTCCCTGGTTGTGCCATCACTGTGAGGCAATGCTGAGCCCCGTTCCAGAGATATTGAAGCAAAGGTGATCCTAATTCCCATACTTTAAAATACACTTACGACAGTCGTAGCTCTAAGATTGCTTTGTGGAACTGGACACTGCTACCTCTCCAGGGGGTATGCCTGGGCAGCTTGATGTGGACGACCAGCTGTCGCCCATGCAACGTCTTGCTGATACACACAAGGGGAAAGGCAAAACCAAAGATATCCGCTATTCCCTAATAACACCTCATCTTGGACAGACCAAAGTTCAATAAAAGAAGCTGTGAATTATAATTCGACTTCTCAAAATTTAAATACACAATGCCTGCATGATACATTTCTTTCCTACAATGCAAGGCATATGCAATCGTTTTTCAGTAAAACATGGGGAATACACCGGTATTGTATAATACATAAAACTTTCAGATAGTGAATAGGGCTTTCTAAGACCAGTATATACTTCGCATGGTTGCAGGACATAAAAGTCTTCCAAATAAAACCTGATGGTAAAACATTTGAGATGTGTGACTATTTATCTATTTATATTTTGAATTTACTACACATGTTTCAGTTCTTGACATTGAGAAAGCATGCAGTTGGCCCCAGTTGACAGGCTTTCTATCAAGCAAAGGATATGAGTTCAGCGTCACATCCCTCTACTACGACAGTGACTTCGCCTAGGAGCTCGGTGTCAACATGACAAAGGATATGCTTGCGTCATCCTTCGGGAATCGTGACCTTTTGATGGGCAAAGTGACAATTCCTGTGAAAGGTAAAAAACTGTAGGAACTTTTCTAAGAGAAACCCCTGAATATTGTTTAGGTCTATGATCATGTTTGCAACGAGGAAAGCAAATTATAGATGCTGACCTCTGTAATGAGTTACCACACCCCCTTACCTACAGGCACAAACTTTTTTAAGAGTATTATGTGAGAAGAGCTTGTCAATCAAATGAATAACTGTTATATAAGTATAAAACGTCAACACCAGAGAACAACAAATCTCGATTATCTTGCGAAACAGATTCCATTTGGCATAAAAGGAAAAATAGTGGTGAAAATCGATGATGACAACAGATGTTCGCGATAAGGGTAAGAATGCCCTGCACAAGAGTATTTGCATAGAAAAGTAGGCGTTTGTTGCCTTGCGCCTCACATCAGTAGTACTACCACGAAACGACGGCCTGTAAACAGTCCGATCAAGTGATCAATAGACGTACAAAATCAAGGAAAATGTCATTTATCGACTTCGGGTGGCCTGATCATGAGGTGCCCAGAATACATTTACAAAGAAAACACAAAGAAAACGAGACTGATGTGCTAATACTAAAGCGCAGTAATGGAGATAAATGAAAAAAGAAGTTTAATTGTCTTCCTGTCTTATTAGCTTCCGTATCATGTGTTTCTCTGTCTGTCATGTTGATTATCATTCTGTTGTTATTTTGTAACCTACTCATGTTAATCTCTCTCATGCATGCAATTGTTGTAACTGTTTATCATCCACATATTATATATATTCTGTACCATGTTCATTATTCATCCGGGCACACGGGTGGCCCAGTCGTCTAAGGCGCCGCGATTCGCTGTGCAGAGTTGCGTCCCTTGGGCATGCCAGAAACCAATGATTGTGGATTCGAATCCCGGTTCGCCCCGATTATGTTTTTAGGTTTGTCAGCACCATACCCGTGCTCGTGGGTTTCATCGAAGTGGTAAACGTCTGAGACCTGCATCACTTCGAGCTTTCCTCCCACATTAAGCTGACACACTGCGGTATTACTGGAATACTATTAAAAGCAGCGTTAAACCCAATTCACTCACTCATTTTTTATCCTTGCTGGAAAATGGTATAAGGACCTGAAGCCTGACAACAGTATGAGGATCTACACCGAAACGTCGCCTTTACAGGAAAATAAAGAAGTTGTTATCCAAAAATTGTGTATACTTTGCCTCCTGTTATATTTATGATTTTAGGGCCATACAAACTTTAGCCATGATGGAAATATAGCTCAGCCAATACATGCTGGAATATGTGATGATAATATACGCATCGGATAAATAGTTATCTTAAGTTACATTTGGCATATAAACGGAGAATAAGACTATGACCTCGTAGCTTGTAACGATGCAGCTTAACACTTCATGGAAAATAACAGGGCATAACATACAAATATGGCATAACCGAATTTGGAGCAATAGTAAAAATATACTGTTGTAAAATCGCCCTGATTGCCTTAAAGTTTGTGGTAAAAATGTTTCTAAAGGGATACAAAAATATCTTGCTGTTTATAATATCCTTTTAATTGTACCGTATTACTGGCGAGAAATATTTCGACCATATTTCACGGGATCTAAACTACGGTGAAGTTCGATACATGATCAAATCTAAACAAAGCTTTCTGCAATATGAAGATATCCTATTTTGTTGACACTGTAAAACATCTCATTCACTTACAGGCTTAAAGACAACTTTATCTTTAAAACAAGCCATCATCTGACTCTGAGTATTTACAATATCTGTCTGACGCCACACCCCACGTTATAGTGCAAGTATTCATGATAGAAAACGTATGATGTCCGAAAACCTATGCTGCTGAAAGCTCTGATCGAAAACAGGACAATCCGCGACGATTGTCCGGTTTTCGATCATATTTGTCGGAGTTGTTTTTTTAAATCTTTGATTATATTTTTACACAGAAGATGATTTTTCCCGACGACTACTGTTTTAAAAAAAGGGATTTTCCGCGTTTCCGCAGAGATTTCACATCCCTGAACTTTATGATCGTGAAATGCACTTGGTATTACATCAGCGTTTTTGAAAAGGAATAATACGTTATGAGTACCATCTGAATAATCTCATATCGTGTTCCTTTCAGGATTGTCAACGCTTGAATACAACAACATGCTAAAGTGGATTGTCGAGAGACAAGTAGACATCATTAATGATGGCGAGCCATCAGCTTCTTTCAGAAATCTCGCCGAGTATCCGATTCAGGTAAGCCCCTCCTCCAGAAATTTCATTGTTTTATTATGATACATAACTAAAGCACCAGTGTTGACTTGTGTGCCAGAACTACCACAATAGTTCGTTAATTAAATCACACGTGTTATTATCCCATGAACATATGTTCTCAAGTTACCAGTGTGTCTTGGCCTTCCTATGTTGGTTTATTTTTACTCTGTTGTAATTGGCTTATGCTGTGTTACATTGGGACAATGCAGTAACAGACAACGTATTTATGGAAAGCGGAAGAATAACTGTTGTGACGATTATTCTCGTATTTTGGGGAATTACAGGTAGTGTTCTGTAATATCTGTACATAGAGAATCTCACCAGAGTGTCTTTTGATATCAAATATATCAACACGAGTTGATAAGAGTGGAAAAATTCCGAGGCTTGCCGAGGATTTTTGCCACTTTTATCAACGAGTGTTGATCTATTTGATCTCAAAAGACACGAGGGTGAGATTTTATTCATCATCCAACATCATTCTTCCAACTTTTTCAATTTGTAGACAGTAATTAGCAGTGTTTTCAGTGTAAAAAGTACTGCTAACATTTTAGGTAGCAGAGCCATTAGTGATGTCATTTGATTGTGACGTCATGGTAACTGGTGACGTCACAATGGTCTGCAAAGCATTGTGATGTGATTTCATTGCAGCGATATCTACAGTGTAGATATCGCTTGATCTAATCCAAGCGATATCTCCTGTGGGAGCCAGTTTTGGATGATGAATAATAATTTATTACCCACGTGGTGAAGATACAGGTGGCAAGATACTAAATCCGTACGTCACACGTGTGTCGTACAAGGTTGATCTTGTTTTATTCATTTTGATTGGATAACCGTGACCTCTGTCACACCGGGACTACTTTTTTCATTCATAAAGAATTGCGAGACGTCATTCTTTTTGCGATTACAAGGCAGAACTGAAGAAATTCATGAGAACGAGAGATATATTAAACCAAACAAGATAGTCAAATCCGGTTTGCATTCTATATAAGTTATGCATAGAGCTTCTACAGACATATAATCGAGCTAGATCTATAAATCGATTTACAATGTACGACTGCCGATCGAGCGCGTCCCTTGAGCGTGACGCACCCGACCAATTTCGCAACTTTCAATTTGATTTAACGTAAAAGGATAAGCGTGGTGAAATGAAGTCTGTTTAAACTATCTGGACAGAAATCGAGACTTACTTGGGATGATCCGGTTGTGCCATCGGTGTCCCCTTTGAAGCGTATTTTGAGACGCTATTTCGGGAGGTGTTGTTCATGAATGCACGAACACGACAGCACGACCAGATCACTTAAAGTTCACAATTCCGATACATCATTCGAAAACTCTGTTGAGTGTGCCTGACTTCTGATTTTGTGGCCCCAAACATCCCAAATGTGAACAATAACATTCCCTATCTCTAGCGTAAAACGCTGTGAGTGGATCGCGGTTGTCTTTTCTTGTTCCGGTGGCGACCTTGTCCTTCGATCGTTCGAAGCTGTCATTGACGTGCAAGCAGATTTGAGTTTGTTGATTTTTACGTCTTCAGTATATAGGGTGGTACAGTTAACATGAATGTCTTTGGCGAACAGTCTGATTTCCCTCTTCCCAAATGGTACGGACATGATATAAATTCAGCTGATAGATCAAGGAAAACGAACCATTTTGATTGCACAGACGGGACCCCGGCAGTGTGACCGACTGTTGGTCCGATATTCAAAGCGCGGCGCTAATGCGACATTTCAAATTTTCTTATCGGTGTCCTGCGTACTAACAACATGGCGCTTGAATCACCATAAGTTGAAGACTTTCTTCCAAAAGGATCTTGAGCGTCGGTGCTGGTTTGTTTGCAAACAGAACAGCAGGCGCATGTTGTTAATGCGTATGCATAAACATGTCAACAATGCCCATATTTGGTCATATATCAATATTCAACCAGATTTTGCAACCGGTTTCAGTTTGGTCTGTCAACGAAAGAAAGTTGTTATGTATTTACACTTAAATATATATTTAACGTGGGTAATAAATAAAATACCACACTCATTCTCTATATATGCATGGTTCACTGTGTGAAGAAAATGTTCACTGTCTGTTCATGAGGATTATTTTTCAAACCGTTTCAGATGATATACATTGAGCCAGCCAGCAACCATCGTGTGTCTGGATATGGCCAATTTTTCCATGTACCCAGGCACGTTCAGCTTGTTGTCACACGAATTGAAAACCTGGATTCCTACACAGGAGCGTGCCAAGAAGACTAAAATGATATGAACAAGTCACGTCAAACTGATCAGATAATAATGTAAAATTATTAGATTGATTTAAAGACACAGGGTTGTCCCTAAATTAAGATGCGGAACAAATGCAATTTCTTTCACTGAATAAAAACATTAATTCCATCTGAATTTTATTTAATGTCAAGTACTTTGTACATGTGTATATTACATTCCCGTCACGTACAGCTACAATTCAAACGTGATGCATCGCGATGATATTTCAAATCATACAATAGTGCACATCACTAGCTTGAACTGCAGGAGCCGACAACATACATTATCAGTTCCTGAAACGCTTGCCAGAGTCATGTATGGAAACAATGCTTTATATATTTGATGAAATATGGACACAGGAAATTTCTCACCTTCATGGCAAAATGCCATTATCATTTCCATACCAAAGACTGACCGGGGCCACAGGGATACATCCAGTTACGACCCGTGAAGAGACGGGGTTGAATAGCTCTTCAGCAACCCTTACTTGTCGTAAAAGGCGACTATGCTTGTCGTAAAAGGCGACTAACGGGATCGGGTGGTCAGGCTCGCTGACTTGGTTGATGCATGTCATCGATCCCAATGCGTGGATCGATGATCATGATATCGATCACTGGATTGTCTGGTCCGTACTCGATTATTTACAGACTGCTGTCATATGGCTGGAATATTGCCGAGTGCGGCGTTAAACAACAAACAAACCAAACATCCATTAACGGTCCAATATCATTAACTACCTGTGTAAAACCATGGCGCGCATGGTCAACAATCGAGTAGTCTGGTACTTGGAGACTAATAACCTGTATAACATCCAATGTGGTTTCCGAAAAAAAAACAGGAGGACCATTTACCACTAGGTGCGTTTAGACCATTTATTAAAAATTCCATTGTCAACAAACAACATACTGTATCAATCTCTTTCGCCCTAGATGAGGCATATGATACAACGTGGAAACATGGTATTTTAAACGATGTGCATGGATTTGTATTGCGGGGCAGATCACCACTCTTCATATCTCATATTAAATTACATACAATTTCAAGTGCGTGTAGGGTCTACCCTGTCTGATCATTTCGATCAGGATCAGGACGTCCCTCAAGGAAGTATCGTATCTGTCACACTTTACATCATCAAAATTAATAGCCTCACCAAAGTCTTAAGCAATAGTGTCAATGGTTCACCTTTTTGTGAACAAGTTTAGTAGCGTCTCCCAAACAGAGTTGGCGAGAAAGTTGGAGTAGTGGCTATTGTAAACATGTATTAAGGCGATTAATTTTTTTTAATTATTTGTGCTTGCAAGTGAAAATTTGAGCATATTTGAATTTATTTCTTGTTTTTAGAAACCAAGGTGAAAATTAAGGTGCCGTTTTCGCTTTAGGGGAGCTTCCATTTTCGCTAATCGGTGCCTTTTTCGCTCGGTGCCGTTTTAGCTATAACCCAGCGATACGACTGACAGACGTCTAATTAACATGATCGGATATAATCTCCACATGTTTGTTTGTTTGTTTTATGTTTAACGCCGCACTCAGCAATAGTCCAGCTATATGACGGCAACATGAATATCGAATTTATTGTATATCCGTTTTTCATTAATAACAGTAAACAAAGGACTAGTTGGTTGGTTTGTTGTTTAACGCCGCACTCGGCAATATTCCAGCTATATGACGGCGGTCTGTAAATAATCGAATCTGGACCAGACAATCCGATGATTGACATCATGAGCATCTATCCACGCAATTGGGATACAATTACATGTATCAACCAGTCAGCGAGGCTGACCACCCGACTCCGTTAGTCGTCTCTAACAACAAGCATAGTCGCCTTTTAAGGCAAGCATGGGTTGCTGAAGAACTATTCTACCCCTTTGGAAGAGCCCGGTGGCCAACTCGACCGAGATTTCTCGAATAAGAATCAAGACAAACATCTAGCTTCAAGTCACATATTTATCATACAATACATTACAAATTTACAAACATCCACGTGTGTACCAGCATATGAAATGTACAACATAATGATATGCGTTTCACATACAGATTGACAGTCATAACAGGATCAGTAGCACAAATACTCATCATCCACAATTGTCAAAACAAACACATCTGTACACCAAAATCATAACATCTCTCAATCACTTCAGAAAACAGGCCATTTCCTTAAAACATTCAGCTTTTCTTTTGCTATGTCATGACTAAACCATATAAATGCATGGCATTAATATAATACATTATTATAACATTATATTATCATTAGAAACCTTAAGCGACGTCATCCTGATTGTTCTTTAAGCGGGTAAGTCTGATACGTGGGTGTGTTACAATATCCCTGTGATTTTATGTTCCGATGTGATATTGTAACGTCTCGGTAACATCATGTAAAATCCGGGGCGGTCGGGTGGCCTAGTGGTTAAAGTGTTCGCTCGTCACGCCGAAGACCAGGGTTCGATTCCCGACATGGGTACAATGTGTGAAGTCCATTTCTGGTGTCCCCCGCCGTGATATTGCTGGAATATTGCTAAAAGCGGCGTAAAACCATACTCACTCATGTAAAATCCAACGACAAATGTCTTCTTCATACTTCAGTGGCGCAACTTACAACATTCATATCTGTAGCCCTGTGAGTGTAAAACTCCAAGAGGCGCTGACAAATCTAAACTCTTTTAAGAACCATTCTTTCAAGGATATGTACAACAGCAAGAGATATTTTACGCCTGTTTCCAAAGGTTCATTGAAAGTATGTTTGGAACATGAAATTGTTGATAAACCTTGTTTCATATTCGTCTCCCGGTTTATATAAGATAAATCACTTTCCCTCGGGTTCTTTTTTATTTAAAATCCTCATCCTCGGGATAAATTCTTTGGGGCTAACATCCTCTTTTCAGATGAGGGCCGTGAAGCTCATAAAAAACCTTTGGACTCTTTGATCCCACATATAACCGATAAATCATAACCATCTTTTCGTGTCATCGTTTCTTGCTTTCTAGGACCGCCTCCGTGGTCTAGTGGTAGAGCGTCCGCCCGGAGAGCAGAAGGTCCGGGGTTCGATCCCTGGCCGCGTCATACCAAAAAACGTTAAAAGATGGTACTTGTTGTTACCCTGTCTGGCGCTCGGCATTAAGAGGCTAAAACAAGGACTTGTTGCCTCGGAGTCAGTATACTGTGTCTGTGTTGGGGATTCATGTTAAACTGCGGCATGGTATCTCAGTGAGCTAGCACTATAAATCGGCATCAGTCCGGACTAGTACAAGCAGCCACACAAACACACACACGTACATGCACGTCCCTATAGAAATGCTATAATCTAAAACGCGACGTTAAACCCCATTTCACCTCACCTTGCTTTCTACAGACGAAACATAGGTTACATCTGTATGCATTCACCTAAGTAGGGAGAGTGTGTCAAAGAATATACCTACCAATGTACAACAAATTAAAACCGGTTGGTCCAACTCTTCCTTGAACAAGGCTTTGTCTCAAAATTTGTGAAAAAAAGATTCACAAATATCATAAATATAATAAATTAATGTTCAATTTTATATCATGATAGATGACAACATTTAACAATGAAACCATGTTTACTCAACTTCAGTGTTGACGTCAGCTGGGCTGGATCGGGTTTGATATCGCTTTGAAAGGTATTTCAGTTATATGGCCAATATAACTTCAAATGTCTTTGCAGATTCCTTTCAGGACTGTAGCATAATATTGCCTTGCCTTAATCTTCACATGACACCATGTATTCTAAGGGCTTTGAGTTATTGGGTAATATTGTGTTCTTAAACCTTTTAATTTTGAGTATTATAAAATGTAAGGATTTTATGCATTGTTTTTAAATGACAGCTAAATTATTGATCTAAAGATTGTGGGTGCTTGCTTTCTGAAGTCCTCTTGAACCCCCTTATCTTGGGTCCCCCTTATCTTGAGCCCCCTTATCTTGAACCCCCTTATCTTAAACCCTGTTATCTTGAGCCCCCTTGTCTTCAGCCCCCTTATCTTCAGCCCCCTTATCTTCAGCCCCCTAATCTTGAACCCCCTTATCTTGAACCCCCTTATCTTGAACCCCCTTATCTTGAACCCCCTTATCTTGAGCCCCCTTACCTTGAACCCCCTTATCTTGAACCCCCTTACCTTGAGCCCCCTTATCTTAAGCCCCCTTATCTTGAGCCCCCTTATCTTGAAATCCCTTATCTTGAACCCCTATATCTTGAACCCCCTTATCTTGAACCCCCTTATATTGAGCCCCTTATCTTGAGCCCCTTATCTTGAACCCCCTTATCTTGAACCCCCTTATCTTGAACCCCCTTATCTTGAACCCCCTTATCTTGAACCCCCTTATCTTGAACCCCCTTATCTTGAACCCCCTTATCTTGAGCCCCCTTATCTAGAACCCCCTTATCTTGAACCCCCTTTTCTTGAATTCCTATATCTTGAACCCCCTTATCTTGAACCCCCTTATCTTGAACCCTCTTATCTTGGGCCCCCTTATCTAGAACCCCCTTATCTTGAACCCCCTTTTCTTGAATTCCTATATCTTGAACCCCCTTATCTTGAATTTCTATATCTTGAGCCCCATATCTTGAACCCTGTTATCACGAATCCCCTTATCTTAAACCCCCTTATCTTGAGGCCCCTTATATTGAAACCCCTTTTCTTGAATTCCTATATCTTTCATTCCAAGTTATTGAGACAATAAAATATTCACATTTTTAGACACATTTCTAGAAACACCATGAGTGAGTGAGTGAGTGAGTTTGGTTTTACGCCGCTTTTAGCAATATTCCAGCAATATCACGGCGGGGACACCAGAAATGGGCTTCACACATTGTACACACTTAAACTCTAGCGTACTGTCATTCATGCTAAACAACTCGTCACGATATGGCTGAAATATTGCCCATGTGACCTTAAATAATAACTCACTCACTCACTCATGCTAAACAACAACTCAAAACACATATCAACTTCAAAATCCCTATTCTGCATGCCAAGAACAAACTACACGTTTAGGGAGCAAGAAATATCCATGGTGGTTGTCATAGTGACGAGACATCTTACAACCCGTGAGGATGCTGGGTTTGAATACGTCACCAACAACCTATGATGGTCGTAACATGCAACCAAATGGATCAGGTGTTCAG